TTGATGAATATGATAAAAGAATTCAGTGAATTTAAAGAACACACAAACAAGGTAATCATAGAGCTGAAGGAAAATAGGGATAAACTTCTGAATGAATTCAGAAACGAGCTGGAAATATTGAAGAATACTCAGGCTGAAATGCATAAGGAGGTGAAACACTCAGTAAACCAATTAGAAATGACAGGAGAAAGCCTCACCAATAGGATGAATGAAATGGAAACAGAGTATCAAGACTGCAAGATAAAGTGGACAAACTAGACCACTCAAGCAAAGATTATGAAAAATATAAGAAAGCACAAGAATGGAATATGCAGCAATTGTGTGACATGATAAAAAAGACCAAACTTACGAATCATACGCATACAGGAAGGAGAAGAATCCCAAGATAATGGCATGGACCAGATCTTCAACAGAATCGTGGGAGAAAATTTCCCACAATTAAAGAAAGACATGCCCAAACAAATACAAAAAGCATACAGAACACCAGACAGACAGGACCAGAAAAGAAACTCTTCACGGCACATCACAGTAAAAACACAAAACGTACAAAACAAAGAGATAGTACTGAAAGCTGCAAAAGAGAAACAAGTCACATATAAAGTAAAACCCATTAGGATTACAGCTGACTTTTCAGTGCAAACTATGAAAGCCAGAAGAGCCTGGACCAAAGTATTCCCAGTGTTAAATGACCACAGATGCCAACCCAGATTACTATATCCAGCCAAAATGTCTATTATAGCTGAAGGGGAAAGAAAAATCTTCCACGACATAAATAGGCTGAAGGAATTCTTGTCCACAAAACCAGCCCTTCAGAGAGTTCTGGGAGCAAAACAAAGAGCTGAAGAAAGGAATGACTATACCCAAGGGGTTGTGGAAAGAAATTCAATGAAGGTGTAACTGGAAAAGTACAGAATACAGCTGTAAAAATGTAAACAGAAATAAAAATGACAGGGTTCAACACTCATCTTTCATTAATAACTTTAAATATTAACAGACTGAACTCCCCAGTCAAAAGGCACAGACTAGGTGAATGGATTAAGAAACAAAACCCATCTCTTTGTTGTCTGCAAGAAACTCCTCTCACTTTCAAGGACAGGCACTATCTTAAAGTGAAAGGATGGAAAAAATATACCAAGTGAACGGCACTAATAAAAAAGCAGGCATAGCAATTCTAATATCTGACAAAATAGACTTTTAAACTAAAACTAATCAGAAGAGATAAAGAGGGCCACTTCATTCTGATCAAAGGAACAATAAATCAAGGAGATATTACAATCATGAACATACATTCACCAAACTCTGGTGCACCCAACTTCATAAAAACAATACTACAGGACTCTAAGACCCAGATTAATCCCAACATATTAATAATAGGGGACTTCAATATCTCACTGTCTCCATGAGATAGGTCAACAGAAAGAGAGTTAAGAGAAGAGACATCTGAATTAAACAATACTATATATCAAATGGACTTAACAGAGATCTTCCAAGTATTCCACCCAAGCACCAAAGGACATACTTTCTACTCAGCACCCCATGGAACCTTCTCCAAAATCGACTTTATACTGGGGCACAAAACCAACAAATACAAAAAGATTGAAATAATTCCATGCATTCTATCAGACCACAATGCAATACAGCTTACAATCAACACCCAAAGAAGCCCTAGTCACCACATGAACACATGGAGATTAAACAACACACTCCTGAATGATGAATGATGAATGGGTCAAAAGAGAAATTAAGAAAGAAAAGTATTCCTGGAACTAAATGAAAAGGACAATACAACACAACAAAACCTCTGGGACAAGTTGAAAGCTGTCTTTAGAGGGAAGTATATAGTTCTAAGTGCCTACATCAAAAAATCAGAAAGAACACAAATAAATGACTTAATATTGCAACTCAAGACACTTGAAAAGAAACAACAAGTGAAACCCAAACCCAGCACACAAGAAGAAATAACAAAAATCAGGGCAGAAATTAATGAAATCGAAGCAAAGAATACAAAGAATCAAGGAATCCAAGAGCTGGAACTTTGAAAAGATAAACAGAACAGACTGCTAGGCCAGTTGAACCAAGAGAAAAGTCACCAGTAACCACATGAACACATGGAGATTAAACAACACACTCCTGAATGATAAATAGATCAAAAGAGAAATTAAGAAAGAAATAAAAGTATTCCTGGAATTAAATGAAAAGGACAATACAACACAACAAAACCTCTGGGACGCGCTGAAAGTGATCCTAAGAGGGAAGTTTATAGCTCTAAGTGCCTACATTAAAATATTAGAAAGAGCCCAAATAAATAACCTAACACCGCAACTCAAGACATCGGAAAGGCAAGAACAAATGAAACCCAAACCCAGCAGAAGAGAAGAAATGATAACGATAGAAACAGAAGAACTCCCAAATTCCTTCTGTGAAGGTAACATCATTCAAATACCAAAACCAGGTAATGACACAATCATAAAAGAAAACTATAGACCTATATCTGTAATGAACACTGATGCAGAAATTCTCAACAAGATACTTGCAAACCGCATACAGACACATATCAAAAAAAACATCCACTATGGTCAAGTCGGCTTTAACCCAGAGATGTACGGATGGTTCAATATACATAAGTCAATAAATGTCATAAATCGTATAAATGGGCTCAAAGACAAGAACCACACGGTCATCTCAATAGATGCAGAGAACGCCTTTGACAAAATTCAACATGAATTTATGTTCAAAGTCCTAGAGGGAATTGGACTGCAGGGAACATACCTCAACATAATTAAAGCCATATAACAAAACCACAGCCAACATCATTCTAAAAGGAGAAAAACTGGAAGCATTCCCATTAAAATCAGGAACCAGACAAGGCTGTCCACTATCCCCACTTCTCTTTAACATAGTGCTTGAAACTCTTGCAAGAGCAAAAAGACAAGAGCAGGAAATTACAGGAGTAACAATTGGAAAAGAAGAGCTCAAATTATCCCTTTTTGCAGATGATATGATGTTGTATCTGAGACACCAAAAGTTCCACCAGAAAATGCCTAGAAATTATTAACACTTTCAGTAA